TTATAATGCCGACGTTTAAAACGCATGTATAATTCGTTGGAGGATACTTTCGAAAGAAATAATGGTTTAATATTTTATGTTCATATATATATATATATATATATATATATATATATATATATATATAAAATTTAAATAGGTATAAATATGAATCTTTGTGGAGATATGTAAATGTATATGTATATGCACATATACAGGTATATATCGATATATGTGTATGTGGTTATATGTGTAATTGCCCATGTACATGAACGCATGTATATGTGAATTTTACGTAAATATGTATGTGGTATATGTATGTAAAAACAGAAAATTTTTACGATGACCTTCAAATCTTACTTCAACTTGATTTGAAACCTAAACTTTAATTAAGAAATATTACCCATCTAAAAATAGCTACAAATGAAATTCATGAATTACTCAAACTGATAAAGATTGTACCTTACCAGTAATTCACAATATTAAAATATTAATATTAGTAAACTTTTATTTTTTTTATTGTTTTTTATTAATATAGTATTCAACTTATATGAAATCCCTAATTTAATTGTAGAGAAGTTGAATATTCAAATTGCTAAAAAGCATTAAATTAATTTCTTTGTGTAGTTTTTTAAACATTTAAATTACTATCAAACGTTAAAATCTATTTTATCTAAATTGCTACCGAAAACCCTAAGTACATCTCTTTTCTCTTTATTTCCGCCTTTTTTTCTATTTCCATTTTTCCTTTCCACTTATCATTTCCGTTGATTTGGCCGATTAAATAGGTCATTGTCTGATCCTTACCCCCTCTTTCCTCAATATTAGGTATTATAATAAAAACGTCTGAAGATTCACAGAAAAATAAAAGTCTCTGGTGAAATAAATTATTACAATGGAGCCTTAAAGTGGTCTGTTTTTTTTAAATTATATATATATATATATATATATATATATATATATATATATATATATATATAATTTTTATGATATCTAAATTATATATATTTTACATCAGTAAATCTTATAATCATAATTAGATATTTTCCTTCAAAGATTCACTTGTTGCATTATCAGTGTTGTAATGTGTCAAATAGGATTGTTTAAATGTGTAAAAATCTAGATAAATCCGTCCCAGAAAATGCAGGTCGATATTTCGAGGAAACTTTGAGAAAAAATAGCGCGTAAATTTCGATTGTAGAAAAATGGTATCTGTATAATTTTCATCTTCTTTTTTTCTAAATCTCTGTAGATTTAATATTATGATTTCTTTTTTAATTTCTTTCATCAACGTTTTTAGTTAAAGCAGTATCAAACATTATTAATAAGTTTTTATTAATGTTTACTTTTTCTCACTTTTTTATCTGAAGCAATTTTAACTACTATTATTAATATTTTTCATTAGTATTTACTAGTATCTTCATTTCTACTAAATGAAACTTTGTCAACCATTATCAATTTTTTTACAAGTATTTAATTGCATTTTAGTTTTTATTAAATGAAGTATTGCCAACTATTATCGTTAATGTTGGTTAATATATAATAATTCCATCTTTTTATTTAGACGATGTTTTTTTAGCAATTATTATTATTAATTTCTGATTAGTATTTACTTTTTCTTCATTTTTATTAAATGGCGCAGTATATAAATCATTATTAATAAATGTTATTAGCATTTACTTTTTTCTTCATTTCCATTAGAAGATGTGTTTATAAAAACTTAATTTTTCATCTTCATTTTTATTATATGAAGAATTAGCAACCAATATTATTAATTTTTACTAGCATTTACTTTTTCATTTTTACTAAATGAATTATTCTCAGCCATTATTATTATTTTCCACTAGTATTTGCTTTTTCTTTATTTTTACTAAATAAACGATTCTCAAACATTATTAAAATTTTGTAGTTGTTTTTACTTTTGTCTTCCTTGTCAACGATTACGAATAATTTTTATTAGTATTTAATTTCATTTTCAATCTTACTATATGAAACATTGTAAACTATTATCATTAATTTTCTCTAGTATTCTTTTCTTCATTTTTATTAAATAAAGCATTCTCAACCATATTATTTTTTTATTTGTATTTACTTTTATCTTCTTTGTCAACGATTAATAATAATTGTTATTAGTATTTAATTTAATTTTCGATCTTACATTCTAAACTATTATTAATTTCCACTTATGTGTACTTCCATCATTTTTATTAGATGAGGCATTGCTGACCATTATTAAAGTGTTATTAATTGTTTTTTTTCTTAATTTTATTAAATGACCAAGTATTTTTATTAATTTTTTATTTGTATTTGATTTGTATTTCTATTCAACCATCACTGACAATTTTATTAGAATTTATTTTCATTTTCATTTTAATTAAATTATTTTCACTGTCCACCCGACATTTTGACTAATATTTATTTCCATTTCTTTTTTATGACAAGAATCATTGTCAAACATTATTAATAATCATTTGTCTAGTATTTAGTTTCATCTTCATGTTTATTAGGTGACGTGTTGTTAATAATTATTATTAATTTTTGACAAGTATTTAATTTCATTTTCATTTTTATTAAATGAAGCATTATTAACCATTCTAAATTATTGGCTTTCATCAACTTTTCATGTGATTAAATATTATCAAACATTATTATTAATTTTGGATTAGCATTTACTTTTTCTTCATTTCTATTGAAAGAATCCTGTCAGAAATTATTGATTATTTTTACTCGTAATTAATTTCGGTTTGATTTTTATTAAATAATTTATTGTCGACCATTAATACAATTTTTGTCTAGTATCTATTTTCATCGTTTTTTTTTATTATTATTAATGAAACATTGCCAGTCATTATTATTCGTATTTTACTATTATTTACTTTACGTTTTTATTAGTGAAGGATTGTCAGCCATTGTTATTAATGGTTCAGTATTTATTTTCATTTTCCTTTTACTTATTGAAACATTGTCAGTCATTATCATTAATTTTTGACTAGTATTTAGTTTAATTTTCTTTTTTTTTATGAGTGACGTTATAATTATATAATATTTGAATTTTTATACTTTGGTTTAGTCTTGTTTTGTTTTACTGTGTATCAACCTCTGTGGGTTATTTAATGCCGACAAGTTTATTATTGCTGGTAATATTTTTTTATCTATCTATCTATCTATCTATCTATCTATCTATCTATCTATCTATCTATCTATCTCAGTATATATTGGCTTGTCTTGTTTTGTTTTACGGCATATGAACCTCAGTAGGTTATTTAATGCCGACAAGACTTTTATTGCTGTAAATATATTTTTTTCCAAAAATGTATTGCTGCTAATATTTTCTTTTTTCCAAAATATATTGCTGATAATGATTTTTTTTTTCAAAAATGTATTGTTGGTATTTTTTTTTCCAAAAATGTATTGCTGGTAATATTTTTTTCAAGATTTATTGCTGGTAATATTTTTTTTTAAAAATGTATTGCTGGTAATAATATATTGCTGGAAATAATTTTTTCTTTAAAATTCATTTCTGTAATAATTTTTTACAAAAATGTATTGCTGATATGAAAACATTTTTTTTTACACTTTCAAAGCATTTTGACACCAGTTTGGTGATTAAATATTTACCCATACTTGGGACCCTAACAGGTGCTACCAACCCAGGTCTAGGTGGACCTGGGAACACCAGCAATTAAGAGGTGGTTCCATGCTCTTCAAAACATCCTGTTCAAAGGCCTTGCTGTTGGATGTAGTTTATCGTCTTACCCAGGACGCCACGTTTGTTTTTGGTGGAGGTGGGGGTCTTACCCCTTCTGCAGATGCGCAGTCAGCGTATTCTGAAGCCTCAGCCGACAGGGCGAGCATATAGACTTTTCTTCACAAAAAAGGATGGTTCCATTGTATAGGTCCCCGAAATGAATAGCTAAGTTTATTATAATTCCCAACTCCATGAAAGCGCCTCGTTATGCTTTCTTGGTCTCATACTGTCCACTGACATGAGCTGTAATAAATACATTGAATCAATAGCTTCACTTACTGCAAGGAAATTTGGTTCTCTGTGTCGTGACAGAAAGTTTTTTCTCGTCTGAGTCTATCCATCAAATCTATAAATCAACCCTCCGTTCTTACATGGAATATTGCTGCCATATATGGCCCGGTGTCCCCGCTGTATGCCTCGAGGTCCTCGACAAAATCCGGAGAGGAATATGCAAATTGATACGTCCTGATCTGGCATCTAGTCTACGATCTCTACCCATCAGATGTGATGTGGCCTCCCTCTGTCTTTTCTACAAGTATTTTCACGGCAACACTTCAGACGAATTTAAACGAGCTACCAGGGAGGCATCTCGGTTCCACCCTTTCAATGTCAAAACAGTTAAATATAACAGTCTCTTATACTTAAACAGCTTCTTCTCCCACACTTCCCGTCTGTGGAACTCCCTTCCTCTTAATTGCTTCCCCGATAACTATAAACTTCAAATATTCAAGTGTAATGTCAATCGACATCTGACATCCTGAGCTTGTTCCCCGTCCTTCTCTGTTTCTTTTCCTCAAATACACCTCTTTACTCTTGTTTTTAATCCTCTGTAACCACTTGCGTGCTAGTGGCACTCTTGCCTTGCTTCGGGAGAATTGCCTTAACAAATATAAAAATAAAGTTATGTTATAATATAATTGTGTATTTCAGGGGATGTTTTTGTTTATTTTTTAAAATTCTTTCAAATATACACAATGGGACTAAATCTATCCGCTTGTATTTAATAAAGGGTTTAATTTGATATTCCCTGTTTTTTAAATCGGATCGACACACCTGACGAAAACTGAACACATCCACCGAAGCTTTGTAAAAACAATAATGATGATCCCGAGAGTAAATACAGTTGTTGCTGGGTTTGTTTGTTTTTTTTATAAAGTCTCTTCCAATTGAATATGAAATATTTTTGTTTATGAATATAAACCAGCTCTAAATACTCGTCGTGTGGATAAATAACTCATCAGAGATAGCTCGGCCTATAAGACCCCCTCCATTA